AATTATTTCTAAATCACAGAAATCACCACCTCACGTGAGAGCATGATTATCACAGCATGGTCATTAGTGTTGCATGTTATTAACATTGAATTACATTAATTAGATACTATATATTCTTTACTTATATTATCTTCCATGGAATATCACACTTAAGATTAGTATCCAATATTTCCTAAGAATGTATACAGTAAGATGATCCACTGTTTCAATATTGCATTCTGGAACTCACAGTGAATACACTGTGAGTTCCACTAATACGTGTTTAGGTTCAGAGACACGGAACAGAATGAAGAAGAGGTCTGGAACGCATGATGCGTTCCAGATACATCGCCGCCGGAACCCGGAAGTGAAATGGCACACCCGGAAACGAAAAAACGGCCACATTTGGAACGCACGAAGCGTTCCAAATAGACATCGGCCGGAACCCGGAAGTCATACACGGACAGGGAGATAAAAGCACGCCAGACTGGAAGGAATTATACCGATTGAGAAAGCCCCCGGAGGGGCGAAACGCGGTTCGGTCATTTTTGGACTTTTACAGCCAATTGGCAGGACTTATTTGCTTAGCAATACAGCTATTTATTTTATTTTGTTTCTTTTAATGAAGTTTTATTACTGTTTTTATATAATAAATAGTATTTTTCAAGATATACATTGGACCCTGGATCTCATTTTAATTGGATCAGCTAACAGCCTATGTGGAAGAAGGAAGGGGACATCCTCTTGAATAGTCCCAAGGCGATATCCATGGGAGCCATATGAGATTTGGCTCCAGGCTTGTGAGTACTAGACCTCACCTTCTTTACATTCCATTATCCAGAAATTACTACACTATTACGTGTTTTATTTATATCTCTTACAGACATTATTCAAGTGTGATCCACCCTCTATATTGTATGTATTTGCCTTTTATTTGTTGAGTGGTGTAAGGGGTTCCCACTCAGGGGGTCTGTAGCTTAGCTACCACACTTTATTTGATTATTCTTGCTGTATATATTTGCACTTTGTATTTTGATGTGGGACATATCCCCGGGGTCCTTCCTGCTCCTCACTGCTCCCGCGCGCGGTTTAGTGATGCCGGGTTCCCGAATATGACGTCATATTCTGGCACCAGGCTTAACTTCAGACGGCGCACGTGAGGGAGCAGTGAGGAGCAGCAACACTAAGCTCCCTCACTGCCATGCTCCCTGTCCGGGTAAGTGTTAGCAGAGTAGGCACCTGCAATATGGGGAAAGCAGATGCCTACTCTGCTATAACAGTAGCATGTACTCGCAACTCGCCGGGCCGCAAAGATGTGGCCCATGGGCAGCAAATTTGACATGCTTGATCTACACCAGTGATAGTCAACCTTTTTCTTCCTACCGCCCACTAATGCATCTTTCTTGATGGAAAAATTTCCTTACCGCCCACCAGCTTTCACACAAGTGCAAAATATTTTTTAGAAAGGAGGGCGTTTTAAAAAAAAAATAAATGTACATACATTTATCTTTTTATTTCTACTTAATGCATGTTTATAATGTTTTTAACTTTATAAAGTTTAATGAGAAAACAATAAAGTAAATTGAAATTACCTTTACTAGTGATTAATGAGATCCTTGAGGTTGATGCTGCGAGACTAAATATTTGATATCTGGTTCGATTTTAGTAAGGAACAAACAAAGGTCTCCTCTTTCGGTGATATTCAGACGACTTCTCTGTTTGCGCATAATATGGTTTCTCATCTGTGTGTCAGCTCCCCTCCTCTCTGTAACGGACCGTTTCCCTCACAAGGGGATAAAATCGGTTTAGGCGATAATCCCCTTTCCCATAGACCAGCAGCTACTGCAATTACCAACCTCCTGAACTCCAAACTGCACGTATTCACCAACTCTCGAACAGCAGACACAGGAACCCTGGAAGCAGCAGAACAGGAAAAGCAATACAAACGGCTTACACTCCTGGCAGTCAGCACACAATCCAATTCCCCCAATAACGAGACGACACTTCGTTTTGAGGGTTAAGCAGAATCTCCAGATTTATTCACACAGCCTCCTTTTAAGACATTCTCCCATGCAAGGGAGGGATCCACAACAATTAGTACCCCAGCCAATAATGTACCAGTTACCTCCCACACATCTCCTCCCCTTAGCGTGACACATAATCCCATTAGTACAGACACAAATTCCCTGGGATACTGGATGTACCCCTAAACATAGGAATACCCCTTTAAATGTTACATCCCCTGGTAACCCTGATCTGGGTGAGACACATATCCAAAAATCACCCAGATCGGACCAGGGGTTCAGGAATTATTAAGGGTTAAAGTTTTGACCGACTGCATGGCAAAAGTATCCGAAAATAGTTCCATGTACTTTGGCCCTGCAGTCGGTCACAGAAAAGGGAATGAATCACACGAATTGCCTGGGTTATAGAGCTTGGGGGGGATTCGTATGAATCCCCCTGTTCGTGGGATCCTTTCTACCGAACGGTGGGCCGTTCGGTAGTTTCTGCACGAATTGCTGGAAGTCTGGAGGTCTCAGCGGTGTTTGCTTAGTCGAGTGTCCGATTTTAGTTCCAGACACTCGACGGCAAAACACCGCTGTTCGGGAGTTTAAGATGGCCGCCGCCACGTGTTCGTTTCCCGAATGGCGGCCACTCAGAGGACACAACACACATTACACATATTGCCAATTACCCGTTTGCAACATTGTTGCAAACGGTAATTGGAGGCACACTTACTCCCGGGTGGTCTGGTTGTTCGGTAGTTTCACCTAATATAATGAATGAAGTGATTCTACCGAACAATCAGGGGAATGCTGCCTTCACATAACACTTTATACCGAACACATCCTATTAAATACAGCCTGAATGCAATTTGCTACACAGTCTTAAAAAGGCATTATTCCTAACAGGCAGAATATGTTCACGGATGGCCCTTAAAGGGCCAGTAGCAGCAATATAAGAATGTCACATGCCCAAATATTGCATACAAAAGTACGAATTCACAAGGGGGCCATAGTCAGAAGACAGGAGGCTGGCAACCAGGCTTCTCCAGTGCATAGTGGCGAGGTTGGTTTCGCCACACTCTCCCTCCTCAATTCCCCTACCCATCTTTTTTTTCCTTTTTTCTATTTTTTTAACCTTACTTATAGCAATGCCCAGTAGGAAGGCTGAGCTACGTAGCCCACTTACTATAGCCCACTATAACAGACAGGCACAAATACATACAGACACACACACAAGACACACATACATACAAAGACACATACATACAAACAGACAGGCACACACATACAGACAGACAGACAGACATACACACACACACGACACATACAGACACACATACAGACAGACACACCTACAGACACACACACACACACAGACATGCACACATACACACACACAAGACATACATACAAACACACATACATAAGAGACACACACATACAGAGACACAGACACACACAAGACATACATACAAAGATATACACACACACACACACACACACATTATATTTGAGTCACCATCCTGTTTCCTACCTTTAAGGTGCAGGAGGGTGACATTCCCTGGGGTCCAGTGGTGGCTCAGGTGGATGGGAGTCAGATATAATCACAGGGGGCCGGTCATGCTGTTAAAGCGCCCAGTGCTGACCGGGCCCCCTTTACAATCCACATCCATCGGGTGGCCCTGACAGCATGGGCCACCCGATGGACCCCTTGGACGGCGGCACCGGCGGTTTGCCGCCCGGGCCGGGGCCGCAGATGGTGATGACGGTACCCGGTAGCAGGGGTACCGCCGGCTCGCACCCGCCCGCCCACCCACCCACCCAATCTCTCCAAATGAGGAAATCCCTACCGCCCACCTGGAATCCTGAAACGCCCACTAGTGGGCGGTAGGGACCAGGTTGACGACCCATGATCTACACAATGATTAAGCATGTCTGAAAAAAGTAAAGCATTAATATTTGGCTTTTATTTACAGTGTTAAAAAACAATAGTAACAGATTAAATTAAAATGTTTATAATATGTTGCTTGTATATATAATAATAGTATTGTTCAATTATCTGCATTTAGTAATTAAACCATTTTGTTTACACAGCCCTAGGCTGTTCCAAAAGTGCTGAAACATTTTTCAGAATGGCTCAAAAACGCGATGCAAAAACCGCTCCAACACCTCCACATTTGACGCCACGTGCTACCCACAGATTCCAGCATGCACGGGGGCGGTGCTCAAAAACCTCCCAGGCACAATGCATCCTGGGGATACTTGCTTTGTATTGCGAAAAAAAATCATAAACCGAGGCATTATTTTCAATGGATTTTCCTTTGTAAACTGAAAATTATGTTAACTGAGGCATTTTTAAACTGAGGTACCACTTTACTTTATATTGCTGCTGACTCTATTGAGGTGAGGATTGTACCACCAAAGCTGTCAATATAACACCATAGCAAGTCATTGCCCTTAAATTAGTAAATAGGATACCGTGTTTATACTAAAATCTTTATGTAGACATACTATATCATCAAAGTTTCTTTTCTTGTTTCATATCGGAAAACTACTGGACATAATCCTGTGCAACATCATATATCCAGAAACTGGGATTGTACTGTCCAAGCGCTAAACAGTAGAGCTCTAAGGAGCTCAGAAAAGTGTGAGAATGTGTCACTCCAAACATGTCCATCCCGCTCAGTATCGGGCTGAGGTTGAGGGAGGGCCGCGCTCTCTAATAACAAATCAGTGTCCGGTTCTGTATATGAGAGGGGTTCGCTCTCTGTTCCTGAAAATAAAATATCATTCTCGGAACGAGGTGATGGAGGGCTGCACCCTCTTGTGATCCAAACTAGACTCAGGGTGACCAACTGCAGGGGTACACCAATTACTAATATCAGCATAAGACTGAGGTCCTTAGGTGGGTCTCTCCCCGACCTCGAGACCTCTCTCTGAATCGCTTACCTGAAAAGGAATCAACTGGTAGTAAACCAGACTGATGGCAGATGGGATAGTATACAACCTCGGGCCATGTCCATTCTTAATAACAGAAAGGGATGGTGCGAAAATGCAACCTTCGGAAACAATGATGGAAACTACCAACTGACTGCCCGGATCCCGTGCGAGTGTGCGGCTTCCAGGATGACCGTCGATAGCCTGAGGAAAGCTGGAGACGTTCTCCGCAATCCACGAGCGCCCGGGAGGTCGGAGGAGGTCAAGTCAGGCCTCTCGACGACCCGAGCAATAGGAAAAGGAAGGCACGAAAACAAAAACCATAAGAAATGTAGATATGGGTAAATACGTAAATTCTAACTCGGATAGAAGGCAAATAGCAGGCCGGAAGGCAAGTCAAGTACGCCCCACTGAACAGGGCCAGGAGCTAACCTTATGCAGGAATAACTACCGATATCTAGATGGATATCGGGAGGCAGTTAGAGGGTTAGTTGTTAAAGACAAGGAAACACTGTGTCCCCCTGTAGGCATCTGAGTACCGATCCCTGCCTGTGCGAAGTTCTCCTTGGAGATGTGCCGTTGCCGGGCTGCTGTAAACCGTGGATGCGTGCCCGGGGTCTTCATAAGAAACCTTGCCCTTCAGGCATGAGGTTTAGGGCCTTCACCCTTCCCACCATACTGGCGTCCTCTTGGATAGTATTGCAACGGTGCTTACCTGGACACCTGCCTATCTCAATGTCACTAGTGGGTACTGGGTTTTTCTCAGTGATATTCCCCCAGGCCTGCGGCCAAAAGGGGGTCGGCACCGATAGATCTTGCCCGTCAGAAGGACACAGGCCCAGCAAGCCAAAACGCATGGGCACAGAATAGTTGGCCAATCAAAGAGGCACAAACAAAGCAGGCCAATCAATGGGGCACAGACATAACAGGCCAGTCAATGGGTCACAGACATAGCAGGCCAATCAAAGGGGCACAGACATAGCAGGCCAATCAAAGGGGCACAGACAGAGCAGGCCCGTGATAGCATTCCGACAGCCGTAGGGCCCATCTGCGTGTGTAGAGTCCACTATATATATATATATATATATATATATACGTAATGAAACAGGGAAATCTTGGGTTAAATAATTTCAATATGTAAAACCCACTAGCAGGGTAGTAATGTGATTATAACATTATTTTTACATAATACCTCTGGATTAAGTTGCTATAATGTCTCCAGTCTAATATCACAGATGTTACAGCTACTAATGATGAAGTGCTATACTATACAGGGAACTGGCAGACTTTAATGTTTGGCCAAAGGCAGAAAACCAAACTGCAGGCATCTCAGAGCAGTACAGGGTGTACTGCCTAAAGCCTATTCTCCAGCCCAGCAAAGTTTTTATATACAATTATATAAATGTGGAGTCATCTTGGGTTATAGATTAACCCTGAGCAGGGTGAAGGGCCCTCATCTGATATAAAAAAACTCCGGCAGTGATCGGAATCCGAACTTGATTGAATGAGGGGAGGAAACCACCTCAAACAGACCTCCAACCAGTTAGGAACAGACGGGGGAGGGGCTGCGAGCGGTAAATCCCACAAGGAACATAACAATATTGTATTATAAAAATAAAATCCTCAAGGATTATAACAAAACTGCATTATAAGAATAAAATCCCACAAGGATTCTAACAGTACTGCCTTATAAAAATAAAATCCCATATGGACTATAACAATACTGCATTATAAAAATAAAATCCCACATGGACTATAACAGTACTGCATTATAAAAATAAAATCCCACATGGACTATAACAATACTGCATTATAAAAATAAAATCCTATAACAATACTGCATTATAAAAATAAAATCCCACCTGGATTATAACAATACTGCATATAAAAATAAAATCCCACATACATTATAACAATACTGCATTATACAAAATACAATCCCACAAGGATTCTAACAATACTGCATTATAAAAATACAATCCCACAAGGATTCTAACAATACTGCATTATAAAAATAAAATCCCACATGGATTATTACAATACTGCATTATAAAAATAAAATCCCACATGGATTATTACAATACTGCATACAGGAATAAAATCATACAAGGATTATAACAATACTGCATTTACATGGGCGTCCGCAGGAATTTTTCCAGGGGGGGGCATAATTGTAATGACATCCATGCTTGGTACCTTTTTGACAGTGTCATGAAAGGGAAGGGGCATAGCCATTATCACATAAAGCCAGAGTGAATCGCGTTTTCACAACTATGGTGTCAGGAATATATGTTTTTATTCCTGACACTATAGTGTTCCTTTAAGCAAATTAAAGGACCATTCTGGTTACCATAACAACTTCACCTAAATGAAAATGCTATGATGCCAGGAAGCCCCTGGGTGCTGGCTTTCCTTAAAGGGGTTAAATCGCTCTCAAATGGTTTAACCACAAAGGCTTCCTACAGCTCCAGGTCTCTCATTGGTATTTGGCTTCTGAAACAGATGTTAGGACGTGCAGATTGACGTCAGGCATGGGTGCCGCTGATTGGCTAGAGTGGACAGTTGACTCTCTAAGCCAATCGCTAGTTCCCGGTTCTTAAAATATTTTTACTTTTTTATGAATGGGGAGCTACTGATTGTCTTAGAGTGCCAGCTGACAGCTCTAGCCAATCAGCAACACCCCTACCCAACGGCACTCTGTGCTTCCTGACACTCAGTAAATAAAAGTGAACACATTAATACTGATATTTTTTTACCTTTGGAGATGAGAAGGTCCAGTGTTTCCCTGCCTGGCCCAGGTACCAAAGCCTTATGATGTGGTGTCCAGAATAAAGTGGAGGGTTCACTTCATTTGTCCTTCCTGCTCCAATCTCCTTTTCCTCTCCTTCATTTGACAGTCTTTTTTTTTCTTCTGACACTGTTTTCTATCCTTGGCCCCTTCTGCTCTTTTACCTTTCTGCTACTTTCTGCTTATTTTGCGCCCTTCTGCTCCTTTCTCATTCTGATCCCTTTCTGCTCCTTGCAGTCCCTTTCTGCTCCCTTTTCTACTTTACCTTTCTGCTCCTTGCAGACCCTTTCTGCTCCCTTTTCTACTTTACCTTTGTGCTCCTTGCTGTCCCTTTCTGCTCCCGTTTCTACTTTACCTTTGTGCTCCTTGCTGTCCCTTTCTGCTCCCGTTTCTACTTTACCTTTGTGCTCCTTGCTGTCCCTTTCTGCGCTTTCTCCTACTTTACCTTTGTGCTCCTTCTGATTCTTTCTGCTCCTTTACCTTTGTGCTCCTTGCTGTCCCTTTCTGCTCCTTGCTGCCCCTTCCTGTTCCTTGCAGGCCCTTCCTGCTCATTCTCCTACTTTACCTTTGTGATCATTCTGATTATTTCTGCTCCTTTACCTTTGTGCTCCTTGCTGTCCCTTTCTGCTCCTTTCTGTCCCTTTCTGCTCCTTGCTGTGCCTTTCTGCCCCTTCCTGCTCCTTGCAGGCCCTTCCTGCTCATTCTCCTACTTTACCTTTGTGCTCCTTCTGCCCCTTCCAGCTCATTTCTGACCCTTTCTGCTCCTTCTGCTTTACCTTCCAGCTCCTTGCTGACCCTTCCTGTTCATTTCTGTTCCTTTGTGCTCCTTCTCCTACTTTACCTTTTGTGCTCCTTGCTGTCCCTTCCAGCTCCTTGCTGCCCCTTTCTGCTCCTTGATGTCCCTTCCTGCTCATTTCTGTTCCTTCTCCTTTTCTCACTTTACCTTCCTGCTCCTTGCTGACTCTTCATGTAGGCTGTCTCCCCATCCCTCACTTCCATAGGCGTGCGCACGGGGTGTGTCGGGTGTGCCTGGGCACACCCTAATCCCCGCGGCACGCCAATGGATTGAGACCGACAGGGGAGATCTCTGGATCTCCCCGGTCGGCTCATGCAGAGCCGACGCTATCCGAGCGGCGGCTCTGGTCTAAGCCTCCATGGGCCAGTGGGGAGATCAAAGTTCTACCTCACCGGTCCACAGCAGCATGGAGGGAGGCAGCAGAGAACCCGGGCTAGAGTTCACTCTCCACTGAACCACCAGGGAAGGCAGCAGGACTGGGATATTAACTAGTCTGCCCCCACCTCCACCCAAACATACAGCACACACACATACAGCACACACAGCCCACAAACAGCACTCACACACACACACAGCACCCACACACATACATCACCCTTGCACACACAGCACCCACACATACAACACCCACACACACACCCAACACACTAACAGCATCCTCACAAACACACAAAACCCACACACAAACAGCACACTCTCATACAAACAGCACCCTGACAAACACACAACACCCGCACACAAACAGCACACTAACAGGACCCGAACAAACACGCACACACAAACACCCTCTCACACACACACACACAGACACAGCACACTACCAGTTCCCTCACAAACAGCACCCTCACACACAGCACACTAACAGCACCCTCACACACACACACAGCAGTGTGTGTGTGTATACATGTATATATATATATAACATATATGTATATATATATATAACATATATGTATATATATATATAATATGTATGTGTATATGTGTATATATGTATATGTGTGTATATATATATATATATATATATATGTGTGTATGTATGTATGTATATATATATATATATATATATATACATACACACACATACATATACACATGGCGTGTTTGTGCTTTAGGGTGCACACCCTAATGCAATAGGCTGTGCACGCCTATGCTCACTTCCCTTATCTATAGGCTGCTGCCCCCCCAAAATCTATAGGCTGCTGCCCCCCCAAAAAAAATCTATAGGCTGCTGCCCCCTCCCCCCAAAAAAATCTATAGGCTGCTGCCCCCCCAAATCTATAGGCTATCTCAAACCCTCCCCCCACTTACCTGATCTGTAGGCTGTCTCTGGCTGCATGTGTTGCTCCCCTGCGGTTTCAATCAGCAGAGAGAAGCAGGGATAAGATGCAGCTTCCTATCCCTGTCTCTCTCCATACACAGCGCCACCTACTGGCCGGCGCCGGTATTGCAGTTTATTTTAACTCACACAAAAAATATCAGAACAAGCTGAAAAATCCAGGGGGGGGCAAGTGCCCCCCCTTGTCCCCCCCTGCGGACGCCCATGGTTGCGTGAATGCTTGTGCGGGGGAGCCCCATTGTCCCAGGTCCTTCAAACCCAAGGGCCGTCCCCATGTCACCTGTTGGCATCCTTGCGTGTATGTTGGCCTGGAGGGAGAGAGTGGTGGGATCCCTACCCGGTTGTTTCCCGGCAGGTGCCCAGCAGGGCGTACTCTAGTAGGATTGAATATAAGTGTTACAAACATAAATACATATATAAAAACAGGTAAAATAACAGAAACTAATAAACCATATTTTACAACCATTTTTGACGGATGTCCGGCTAGGCACCAGTTGGCGGTGCGTTGGGGGTGGGAACTAATGGCTCCCGTCTTGGCTACGGTCCAGCGGCCGCCGCCTACATATTTACTTGTCAGGTTACAGTGACCCTGTTGAAGATGAACTTATGTAGAAGGCCTGTGACTGTACCCGCCTGAAGGATTACTGCTTGTCTCTTGGTCTGCTGTGTTGTGCTGTGTTCCCTTATTGTGGGGGCCCCCGACCGGGTTTTGCTATGGCTTCCTCCGGCTAGGCTTCATGTGT